GGCCCGGCTTTTTCATTTTTAAAGGGCTGTGAAAAACAAAAAGAAAAAGAAAAGGAAAAGGTACAACAGACCCCATAAAACCTAAAATATTAATTCTCTGGCTCATTACAGAAAAAGTTAGATCCTTGCCTAAAAGCCCTTCCTCTGAGGGTAGACTTCAGCTGTTATTTACATGTCAGAGTGGCATGGTCAGGACATTAGTATAGATAAAGCACGTAGGCTGGTGGTAGCGCTGCCTATGGCTTTTTATAGCCTGGGTCTAGATGTAGAACTTTCCCTCGAGCCTTCAATGATTTGCGTACAGTAGGCACCTTACTGCATTTGTTGGATGAACATTTTATGGTGTTTTCATTTTTTAGGTGCTGTTGAATTAGAAAACTTGCCGTTAAAGAAAGATGCCTTGAAGGAACTGGAATTACCATTTGAAGTCAAAGCTGGTACGTGGAACCAAGGAGACGGAGGCGGTTCTGAGCCTCCATGTTTGGGACATGAAGATGGAGAGCCCTTGAGCTTGGGTCTCTGACCCGGAGGAGGCAGGGGATGTAGAGACCCATCTTAAAGTGTGGTGGCCGCTAGTATCAGGATGACTGTGGGGGTGGCGGAGGGCGGTCAGGTGGCCCCCAGACCTCCTAAATCAGAACAGCCAAGGGTGTGCCTTTGAAGCTGCATTTTTAACAAGCACCTCAGGTGATTCTTACGTTTACTAAAGTGTGAGAACTTCTGTTCTAGATACGGGGGTTCTTATTTTCAGGGAATTCGTTATAAATAGTATTACTGAGAAAGAGTTTATTGAATGAAAGTGGGCTCTGGAACAGGTTGTCTGGGTTTATATTCTAGTCTGCCATTTTCTGGCTGTGTGACCTTGTCTAAGTTCCTTAACCACTCTGTGTGCTTCCTCATTTTTAAGATGGGATAATAATAGTACCTACATCGTAGGGTTGTTGAGAGGAATACCTGAGTTAATACATTAAAATTACTTAGTAGGACAATGCCTGGCACACTTAATAAATGTTTGCAATTATATAGGAGTTATGCAGTCACTAGGATTAGTAAGGAGGCAAGAATTGTCATGGAATAAAAATATTCTCTATTGAATGACCACTTATAAAATTAGTCCCTATTCAGGCACCCCTCATCATTCAACAACAGCATGTTGATGTCAGTCAGTCTTTTCCTTAATTTTGGGGTACTTATATTACAATAAAATGCAAGTAGAATGCAAATCAGTTGCTGGGTGAAATACAATGGAAATCTTGCAAAAGCTTTAGGTTTTCTTGAAGTCAATTCAAGTGATACTAACCTGCCAGAATTGCAAGCAAAAGCACTGACAAATTAGAATTTGAAAGTAACTCTCAAGAATAATGACACAAGAGTTACTGTTTGACTCTCAGAGGATTAAGAACGGCTCTTGGGAAAAATTGATGAAGTTTTCCAGTATTTTGGCAAAAAAGATAGTTTTTATGCCTGTTCTGCAAAAATGAAATGAAACCTAGCAGAAGTTATATTTTGCAGTCATATAATTATCAGACTATTATGCATTCTCCCCCAATTACTTTTGGTTAGAATTGCAACTGTGCACTAATTATTGTTAAACTTCTTTATATAGTTTATATATATTAACCAATGTTACCCCAATACATTTAGTAAAATTATTTGCTGTGAAAATTGGTATATGGTTTCAGTTATATTATACATTTT